CGCATCGGCCGCGGCCAACCGCCGCAGCGTGAGGTGAACGGGGCACCGGCGCACTCGGAGGCGCCACCGCCTCTGGCGACCGCGCCTCGGCACCCCCAGAGCTGGCGGCCCGATCCGCGGGCTCAGCGCAGAGCAGCTCGCGGAGGCACTCGTGATCCCCGGGCCAGGCTGACGACGCAAGCAAGCGGGCACCCGCGCTCGCACGGACCGAAGGGTCCCGAGACGCCTCGGGCGCCAGCAGCAGTAGCAGCAGCATGCCCAGGAGCGGCGGGAGGGAGAGGACCCTGGCATGCGCCGAGCCCCGCGGGGGTACAGCCTACGCCACGGGGCCCCTCGCCTCCAGGGCCAGAGCAGGCTCGCCGCAGGCACTGCTCGTCCTCGGACCCGCCTGACCCCGAGCAAGCTGGCCACCGCCCTCGCAGGGGCCGCAGGGCCCAGGCTGGCAGCGCGCGCCAGCTGGAGTCGAGCAGGGCGCCCGAGAGGGCCTCCCCCCGAAGGGGGGGGGGAGGCTGCTGGGCGCCATGGGGGGGGCCCCCCAGCGACGGCCACTTCGGCGCCGAGCCGCCCGCGGTGCTGCGTCACGGAATGATGGAGAGAACGGCGGGGGCGCCGCGAGTCAGGAGGAAAAAAAACACACACAGACACATTTAATCGTCGATTCCCAGAACATATGGGAAAATATGGGAAGTGGGGGGAAGACAAAAACCCAGAAAATATACGGGAAAATAGAGGGAATCTATCTATTTGTGTGTACTTATTTGTGTGTCCCAGGGCCCCTGCAGTGAGGAGCGGAAGCGAAGCTGCTGCCTCCGCCCGCGGGCCCCTACCCGCCTCCCGCAGGCCCCGGGGCTGCGGCTGCCCCGGGAGCCGCCCGTCCCGCCGCGGCCTGAGCCCCGAGCCGTGGCCACCTCTAGACTCGTAGGTCCAAGTCGGGCCTGTCCCTCCACAGAGGGGAAATCCAAAAGTAGTCAAAAAAATAGTCAGGGGACTACTCTTTGATTTCTTTTTTTATACCATTTTGGGGTATGTTTGGGGTATTCCTTTTTTATCGTTGAAAATCCCCCTGTCGGGGCACACGCCAGACCTAGTCGTAGGTCCTGCGCCTGGCCCCAGCCGAGGCCTCCTCCGCCGCCTGCCCAGACCCCAGCGCCACGGCCAGGCGACCCGCAAAGGCGCGCACCACGCCCACGGGCACCTGCAGCCTGGCGTCGTCGACGCCGTCTGGGCTGACTGCTGCTGCCCAGGCCTGCATCAAATCATCGAAGATGGGCTCGATCGTTGCCGAGACACTCTGTCGAGACCATGCACGTCAGCGTCGCACTGCTGGTGCCCGTCGTGCAGCTGGGCCTCGGCCGCTCGGAGGAGTTTGAGCTCTCCACATCGAAGTTCGTGGTGCCATGCTGCCCCGCCACATCATCCTGAGCACTGCATGCGTGGGCGTGCCCAGCGTTCGCCGCCAGATAGTTGGGGACAGACTGCCGTACCCAACTTTCGGCGTCGGCGTACAGCTGGTTCCCGTCGTGCTCCTCGTCTGAGCCATGCGTGCCGTCCCGCCTGGCTTATCGTCGTTGCTGATCATCGTCGTCGCGGGCGGGGTCAGCTCAACCCCTCGCGCCTCCAGTCCTCGTTGCCACCCTGTGGGGCCCTGGGCGATGGTGGGGGGGAGAGTGGGTGCTGGTGCTGAACGCACGCGCTCCGCCAGGCAGAAGGCGAGGCCGCGGGCCCTGCGCCTCCCGCGTGGCACCACAGCTGTCCAGTCCAGCTACGAGGCATGCGCACCCTCATCCCATGCAGCAGGCTCCGATGATGCCAGGGTGACGTCCACCTGCGCCTCCGCAGTCGCCTGGCAACGCCGCCGCCGTCCGCACCTGCGCGGCCGCTGTCGGCGGGGCACGGTCTGGTGGTGCCCGCCGCCGCCGCCGCGCTGGCCGCGCCCGTCCTCGCCGTCGAAGTCCCCGAGCTCGAAGTTGGCATCGAGCCAGTTCTCCTCGAGCTCGTGCTCGTCGTCGTTGTTCTCGAGCTCGTGTTCGCCGACTCCGTAGGTGTAATCGTGATCGGTGCCGTCCTCCTGGCCGTCGAAGTGCATGGCCTTGTACTGCTTGCACCCGTCCCGCACCGTAGCCGTGGACGCCGAACTGCGCGGGCGAGGTGAGCCCTCAACTCCAGTGCGGAAGCCGCCACCGACCGTGCTGCTTCTCGTCCGCTTCCTGCCACCTGACCCGTGGCTCGTCCAAGCCTCCGCTGATACCGCTCTACGTGCTGCTGCTCGTCCACGTGCTGTGCTGCTGGTACCCGCCGACGCCTTCCTTCGCATCGTCGCCGTTGCCGCACTCGTCCGCGGGCGGCGCCTCGATGGCATGCTCGCCGTCGGCGCGCAAGTGTCCACGTCCGGGCTCTGCACCTGTGCCGGCGGTTTCTCCCGTGCCGCAGCGCCCTGCCACCGGGCTGGGTCGCCCTCCCGCCTCGGGGGGCGGACGGCCGTGGGCCAGCTCTTGGGGGCGAGACCGCAAGACCGCCCGCGGCGCTGGCAGGACTGCGGGTGCTCGAGCGCGGCCTCGAGGATCTCGGCGCCTTCGCCCAGGTAAGGCGTGGGCCCCGAGGCTCCGACTCGCTCGCTCGGCGCCCGATGCTCCCTCGCCGCGAGTCCGGCGCGCCAGGGCCGGCCGGATGGGACGGAGCCGCACATGGCGAGCTCGGCGTCCTGCTCCGCGCCGGCTCCATCTGCAGCCCAGCCCCCGATAGCCTCAGCGCAGGCTTGCGCGCGCCGCGGCGGCGGCCGCGGTGGCCGCGAGAACGTGCCTCCCCGCGCCCCCCGCTGCTGCTCCTTCGGCTGCCGCTCGGACCAGCGGCGCCCGGGCGGCAGCGACGTGCAGAGCGCGGCGATTGCCCTGGGCGCCCGAGCAGTGCGAAGCTCGAACGGGCCAACGGAGGAGGAGATTGCCCGATCAGCGCGAAGCTGGAACGGGGAAACCGCTCTCGCTCCAGTGTGGCTCCTTGAGCCGTAAGCGGCTGCGCAGCACGGTCATGCTAACGATGTTGCTGATGGTGTTGATGCTGATACTGATGATGGCGATGATGATGATGATGCTGATGATGATGATGATGATGATGCTGATCATGATAGTGATGATGATAATGACGCTGATGGTGATGATGACGATGATGCTGTTGATGACGATAATGATGATGATGATGATGATGATGATGATGATGATGATGATGATGATGATGATGGTGATCATGATGGTGATGCTGATGATGATGATCCTGATTTTGACAGTGATGGCGATGATGATGATGATGGTGATGATGACGATGCTGCTGCCGATGATGATGCTGCTGATGATGGTGCTGATGATGATGACACTCTTGATGATGCTGCTGATGATGGTGGTGATGATGAGGATGCTGACGATGATGATGATGATGATGATGATGATGATGATGATGATGATGATGATGATGATGATGTTAATGAAGGTGACGATGATGCTGATGCTGATACAGATGATGATGATGCTGCTGCTGATGATGATGACGATGATGATGATGATGATGATGATGATGATGATGATGATGATGATGATTGTGATGATGATGATGCTGATGATGATGATGATGACGATGATGCTGATGCGGATGCCGATGATGGTGAGGATTGGGATCATGATGAAGGGGGAGGAGATGGAGGAGGAGGAGAAGGAGGAACAGGATGAGGATCATGACGACGATGATCACGATGATAACGATCATGACGATGACGGTGCTGACGATGATGACGCTGCTGATGATGATGATACGGGTGATGATACTGTTGATGCTGATGCTGATGCTGACGATGATGATGGTGCTGATGATAACGATGTTGCGGATGGTACTGATGAAGGTGGTGGTGATTTTGATTATGATTCTGATGATTGTGATGATGTTGATGATGCTTATGATGTTGAGTATAACTATGATGCTGCTGATGCTGATGAGAATGATGATGCTTATTGTGATGGCGATGTTGATGATGCTGCTGATGATGCTGAATCGGATGAGGGTAATGATAACGATGATGATGGTGATCCCGATGACGATGACGATGACGATGACCATGATGCTGACGATTACTATGATGCTGAATTTGATGCTGAATATGATGATGCTGATGCTAATGCTGCTGATGCTGATGATGACGACGATGCTGATGATGATGATGATGATGATGATGATGATGATGATGATGATGATGATGGTGAGGTTCATGATTATGATGCTGATTATGAATATGATGATGCTGATGATGATGATGGTGATGGTGATGAAGATGGTGATTCTGATTATGCTGATGGTGTTGGTGACGCTGCTGATGGTGATGATGATCAGGAGGATGATGATGAGGATGAGCAGGCTGGTGCTGGTGCTGCTGATGATGACGTGTCTGTTGAGGTTGATGATGGCGATCGTGATGCTTAGAATGATAAAGACGACGACGCTGAAGCTGATGCGGATTAAGATGGTGATGGCGACGTGCTGATGATGATGGCGACGATGGTAATGATTATGATACCGATGAAAAAGAGCCAGCTGATGATGACTCCGATGTTGATGATGGTGGTGATGATGCTGATGGTGATGATGTGGAGGATGAGGAGGCTTCTGTTGCTGCTGATGATGACGATGTCGATTGCCTCACGAGGATCCAGGCTAGATGTTCGTTGCGACCGGCGCATTCAGCGGAAATATTTCTTATGTCGCACGTGTCGTCGGACCAGTGCTCCGACGACAGCTGCGACACAGAGTTGTGTGTGTGTGTGCTCCGGGAGCGCACACCTCTGTGTTTGCGGTCTCCCAGCTCGATGCTCCACCCTCGTGCCCTTTTCGATGTACTCCTCGCTCTTCGTGCCTCCAACCGCGCTCATAGCTGCGTGTGTGGAGTCGTTGCGTTGCGGCACTTGCTGCAGGATGCCTCGTAATTTCTTGATGACCGCGAGCTGGGAATCGGTCCTCGCCAGGAGAGGGACCGCTGGATGCTGCAGTACGAGCTGGACTACTGGGGCTCGGTGGCCTTCTCCGCAGCCACCAAGGACAGGCGTCGCGGCACCCTTTCTCTTCCTTCCTCCTACTGCTCCGCATCTAGCTGTCTCCTGCTGCCGCCTCCATGCTTTTCTCCTCTCCCTGACACCTCCTGCTGCTTCTCCTCATCCCGCTTCCTCGTGCCTCAAAGCCCTACTTGGCCTTTTGGGACTCTCGGGAGGCCTCCTGGAGGCCTCTCTGGCCTTCGGGGGGCCCCTTGGGCCGTCCTGGGCCCAGCTTGGGCGTCTTGGAGCGGTCCTTGGGCGTCTTGGGGGCCCTCTCGGAACGTCTTGGCGGCCTCTCGGAGGCCTCTCTTGGCCCGTCCTCTGGGTCCTCCCAGGCCCCGGGGAGCCACGCGCGGAGGCGCGGGGGAGCCTCAGGGGGCACGCGGAAAACCCCGCCATGCTTGGGGCCATTTTGTGTCCAGGCCCTAAGATTATGTCGGGCGTGTCCCCCTACAGGGGGATTTTCGACGATCGACGAAAAATTAAAAATACCCGCAAAATACCCCAAGACGGTCAACAAATACTCAAAAAATAGTCCCCAGACTATTTCTGGACCATTTTTTGATTTTTTTTTCTGAGGTATTTTTGATTTTTCGTCGAAAATCCCCCTGTAGGGGGACAGGCCCGACTTAACCCTAAGAGACTCCTCATGAGTGAGGATTGAGGCTCAGAGGATTCGGCAACCGCATCCTTCTCCTCCTCCTCCCCTCCTTCCCAAGCCACAGTGCGACACGCCGGCGTCCACACCGACAATGCTTCGGCCAGACGCTGCTGTCTAGGTCCGCTTTGTTTTTCTCCCCGCATGCCACTCCACACTTTTTTCGCTCCTTCTGCTCAGCCTCCGCCTCCCTGGAGCCGAAGCTGTCTAGGAACGTCTGCGAGCCTGAGTGCTGCATGGTGCCTGTTGGGCCGCCTTCGATCGGTCTCCCCTGCGCACCCCGAGGCCCCCGAAGCTCTATCCCCAGGCGGTGGTTCGGGATGTATCCCCGCCTCGCAGCACAGGCTCCAAGACGGGCGAAGAAGGCCCGAACACCTCGACCCCCCAGACCCTCGCCACCCCCCAGACCCCCCCCTGCCCTGAAGTCGGGCCCGTCCCTCTACAGGAGGAATACCCAAAATTTTTCCAAATTATCCCAGTGCGACCCTACCTAGAAGTTGGAGCCCCTAGGAAAGCAGCATTAGTAGCAACAGTAAAGCTAAGCTAAAGCTAAAGCTAAGCTAAAGCTAAGCTGTAGCTAAGCTAAAGCTAAAGCTAAAGCTAAGCTAAAGCTAAGCTAAAGCTAAGCTGAAGCTAAGCTGAAGCTAAGCTGAAGCTAAGCTAAATCTCATATACATCTAAGCTAAAGCTAAGCTACAGCTGAGCTAAAGTTAAAGCGTAAGCTAAGCGTAAGCTAAGCTAAAGCTAAGCTCTAAAGCTAAAGCTAAAGCTAAGCTAAAGCTAAGCTAAAGTTAAGCTAACGCTAACCTGAAGCTGAGCTGAAGCTAAGCTAGAGCTAAGTTAAAGCTAAGCTAAGGCTAAGCTAACGCTAAGCTAACGTTAAAGCTAAAGCTAAGCTAAAGCTAAGCTAAAGCTAAGCTAAAGCTAAGCTAAAGCTAAAGCTAAAGCTACAGCTCCCAGGGGACTGGGGGAACCGCGGGGCGGGGACTGGGGGAACCGCCCGGGGCGCTTTCCACTGCCCGGCCCCTTTAAGCTGGAGAGTAAGAACCCTTCTAGGCAGAGCCTAGGTGGGGACAAATTGTCTGGGATCGATTTTTTGATTATTTTTGCCCCTTTGGGGGGTATCTTTTGAGTATTTTTCATTTTTCGCCCAAAATTGCGGGCAAGACTTCTATCCATATCCAGTGCGCCTTGAACTTTTTTGGAAGAAGCGCCACAAGGCCGAGGCGCACTGGATATCGATAAAAACCTAGCCTCTACGGTGGGCAAATTTGTCCATATACAGTGTGCCTCGGGTTTCTGGGGAAGGGAGCCCGAAATTCCATACTGCAGTGGATGTGGACAGAAGTATTGCCCGCAAAAATCCTCCTGTAGGGGGACACGCCCGACTTGACCCTGCCCTGCAGGAGCGGGTCCGGCGCAACGTGCTCGGCCCGCTCGGCGACCTGCGCGCGGGCGCCGGCGGGGGCGCCGCGGGGTCCTGGTGGACCTCGCAGCCCGCGGTGGGGGCGTGGAGTGCCGCCATCGCGAAGGAGCTCGTGGGAGAGAAGGGGGGGAGGAGCGAGGATCGAGTGCAGCCAGGACCCTGAAGCTAGAAGAACGGGAATCAAGCTAAGAGGGGTTTCCGAAGATATGGTCGGGAGATGGTTTCCGAGGTGGCCCCGAAACGCTGGTCCTTGGTGGATCGCACATCTTGTTTTTTCTGAGATATGGGCCCCAGTATGGTTCCTGGAACCTTGTTTTTTTCGGCGCCTGGCGAGCTCGAAATCGAGCTCGGCCGAAGCATTGGTCACGTGGGGCTCCGGAGTGGATCGTTTTCGGATTCATTGCTCTGCCGATCGGCGCGGGCCCTCGCCCCCCCCCCTCCCCCCCCCCCTCCCCCTATGGAGTCGATCTTGGCTGTTTTGGGCGCCTGTTTCGTGCGGGGGGGGTCTCCCCCGTAGGAGGCACTGCTCCAAACAGTCGCACTGAGCAGAGGTCCGGAGTCAAACGCCGAATAAGAAGAGCGTTCACAAAGGGATCTGGTTTGCGGGGGCCGTTGCTCAGGTCCAGGCCGGGGAAGCTATTCGTTGCCAAGGCCAGCCAGCCGTGGCCAGCGAATCCCCTTCGTTTCCAATTCAGTGTTCCTTCTGGTATCAGGACGGGCATGTCCTCCTACAGGCAGATTTTGGAGGAAAATGTGAAATAGTCAACAAATACCCCCAAATAGTCAAAAATGACTTTTGAATATTGTTTGGTCAAATACCCCCAAATTGTCCCCTGACTATTTTTTTGTACAATTTTTGCATTTTCCTCCTGTAAAGGGACAGCCCCGACTTAATTCTTGTAGCATCATGACCTTTTAGACTGGTCCATCATGGAAGTTTCTGATCGTTTGGGTATATTGTGAAGGCCTGACGGCTGGTGCCGCCGACCATGAAAGACATCTGCGACGACCAGGAGGGGGAGGAGGAGGAGGAGGAGGAGCAGGCGGAGATAAGGAGGAGGAGTAGGAGGAGGAGGAGACGGAGGAGGGAAAGGACTCCCCCTTGGGCCCCCAGAGGACCGTCGTGGGAGAGGGGAGGGGAGGGGAGGAGGACCCCCAGGGACGGATGTGTATCTGACTCCCCTCCCCCCCCTGGGACTCCCCCCCATTTGGGGAGGAGGACCCGAGGAGGACGGGCGCGCCAGAGAAGGACTGGCGTGGGAGGAGGACCCCCAGAGGCGATGCGAATCTGATCCCCCCAGTGGACGGGACATGATGACTTTTTTGGGGTCGAGGATGGAAGTTTCTGATCGTTTGGGTGTATTTTTTTGTATTCTGGGCCCCTCTGGAGGCATCGGAGGAGCTCGAGGAACCTCCCAGGATCTCCACAGGCCTCTTTGGTCACTCGCAAAAATCGCGCATGAGGTTTTTCGCCAGCTCCGGCAGTTTCCATTCCCTGGGGCCGTCAACAAAAAACAGGGGGACTTCGGGGTGGGTCCCTCTCTCCTGACCGCGACCAAACGCGGCTCAGGAAACTGGTCATGACGGAGTCCAGCACTGGTCTGGGGGCACCATGCCTTTCCCCGACCATCCAGTGGTGTGGGGTCCTTCTTCCCTTTGAAAAGACAGCGCCCCACGTTCCTGCTCCTCCTCCTCCTCCTCCTCCTTCCCACTTCCCCGACACTTGCCTCGGCCTTCTGTATGTCCACCACTTCAGCGCACCAATTACAGCGCTTCGTGGCCCCATAGGGCCATAAGGAGCTCCACGGAAGGCCCCAGTCGCTGTGGTCACATGCGTCCGCGCCACCCAGTACGGCGTTTCGTGGCCACGGAGGAAAATCCAGAGGGGGAAGGTGAGAAGGAGGAGGAGGAGGAGGAGGAGGAGGAGGAGGAGGAGGAGGAGGAGGAGGAGGAGGGGAATGGCACACCCTCAGACGCGCTTCGAGACCCTATAGTATATAGGGAGCTCCACAGAAGGCCCCAGTGGCAGGGTACACATGCGCCCCCCCCCCCCCCCCCCCGCGCCAATTCGGCACAGCCTTCACACGTTATGTAGCCGCATAGGGAGCTCCACCGAAGACAAAACAACTGCGGCACTCACAACTGCATATGGGTGGGTCTTTCGCCAGGCTAACTGTGATGGGGCCCAGAGTTCCATGGGTCCAGGTGTTTAAAATCTTGGACTTCGACGGTATGGCGATCCAGGCGCGTTTAGGCGGTAGTTGGGGGGTGGTAGTGTGTGTTGTTTTCTTCAGTTCTTTGGGGGGGACTCGGAGAGGTTCCCATCATGCTCTCTTGGTTTTCGGTGTTTCTTGGAGTTATTCGGAGGTTCCTGGAGGTTGTCCAAGTCTATTCTTCGGCGGCTTCTGGAGTTTCTCAGAAGTCGTCTGTGCACTCTGGCGGTTTTCGTTTGTTTGTGTCGGTTTTCAGAAAGCCCCTGGGGCGGTCTCCCGTTGCCTTCTCGAGGATCGGTTCGTCCAAAACGGGGACGCTGCGAACGCGGACCACGACCAACAGTAGCTCCCAGCACCTCGTTGGACAGGGACCAGTGGTCGGTCCCGCCGCGAACGCTGCACCCATTTGGAAGCGACCGTCGCCAGCCCAGCATCCGTCGCCGCCTTTCTCTGACAGCACTCGCCGCTGGGCGCCGTGGCCATCTCGGGGCACGCCGTCGTTGAGCTCGGAGGACACGGGTCGTGCACCTGCACCGCTCCAGGCCAGGCCGATCCTCGACCCAGCACCGGTGCAGATGCCCTCCTGCCCAAGCTGGGAGGGCGCGCACACACGCACCGACTTCCCGGGCCCACGAGGAGCCTGGCCTGGGTCGGCGCAGGTGTACAGTCAAAACCCTAATAAGGGCGCGCGACTTTGCTCAGGGTGCCCTTGCGTCCTTGCTCTTCCTTGCTCTTGCGTCCTGGAGGTCTTCGTCGTCCGCCGCCCCAAAAGTCCCAACTGCGGCTTCCAAGGGTCTTGCGTCCTTACCGCGCGTCCTTATTAGGGTTTTTGACTGTACAGTCGGGGCCCTGAAGAAGGAACCCTTTTCGTTGGGGAGGGGCTCCGTGTTCCTGAATTGTTTCGCAGCTTGCCTTAGATTTTCCTCAGGGTCTCGATACGACATCGGAGTTTAACTTATGGAAAAATAGGGGCCTCGCTCCTTCTTTAGGGTTCCTTAGGTCAACGTCCCGACTGTACCGCGTGTCCTTATTAGGGGAGGAGGAGGAGGAGGAGGAGAAGGAGGAGAAGGAGGAGGAGGAGGAGGAGGTTTTTGACTGTACACCTGGCGTCCTGCAGCAGAGCCTGCTCCGGAGCGCACCCGTGGCGAGCGCTCTCTGGAGCGGCCGCGGCTCCCGAGGCCAGCCTCCAGAGCCGCCAGAGCCGGAGCTCATGAGGCCCCCGATGCGTCCCGGCCTCTGGCTCTGTCCCAGTCCCTGCTTCGTCTCTCTCGGGAGCGGAAAAGTCAGAGCCCCGAATCATCAGGGGTAACTCGGGTCAGGGCTAACTCGGGTTCCTTTTTCGGGATTCCAAACCCGACTTACCCCGGACCCGACTTGCCCCGGATAATTCGGGCGTCCAGAGCCCCGAATCATCAGGGGTAACTCGGGTCAGGGCTAACTCGGGTTCCTTTTTCGGGATTCCAACCCCGACTTATCCCGGACCCGAGTTACCCCGGATAAGTCGGGCGCCCAAAAACGAGGGGGGTGATGACTAGGGGGGGTGGATTTCATGGCGGGGGCCATGATTTTTCCGCAGATTTCATGGCGCCTCTTCTTGTTTCATCGCGTCCCAGGCCCCCCCGCTGGGCCGCGCACGTGCCGCCGGTCACGATTTGCACCCCCCCCTCTTGGACACTCCCCTCTTGGCCGCTCCCGACTTTCGGGGGCGGCCAAGAGGGGGGCGATGGTCAGGAGGGGGAAATATTCGGAGGTGGATAGACCTCCTACCTTGATACGTCGATTAAGGAGTTGGCCGTTTTCGGTTCGCGAGAGGGCATCGCGGCCGTCATTTTTGCGGGTCCAGGTCGGTCGGTTTCGGTCCCAGGCCGTTTTCGCTAAGGGTAGGTTTACTAAAGGGAGGTTTGTCCAATGGTGGGGGCCATGATATCTCCCAGATGACGGAAGCGCGCGTAGCGTCGCGAGCCGTCAAGTCGGGAGAGGGGAGGTGTGGGGGGTTAGGCAGGACTAGAGTCAGATGACGGAAAGCGCGCTTGCGTCGCGATCCATTAGCCGGGAGAAATACCACAGAGGGGTATGGGGGTGTGTAGGCAGGACGAGCTCCAGATCTACTGGCCCAAATTTCGGCCCAAGACGGCCCACGTCAGCCCCAGGAGCGCCCAAGAGGCCCCTAAGACTGCTCAAGACGCTCCCCAGACGCCCTCACATACCTCCACGACGGCCTCCGCGAGTCCCAAGAGGGCTCGAAGACGGCCCAAGGCCGCTCCTAGAGGGCGCAAGATGGTCTCAGGACGGCCGAAGATAATGTCAAGACGCTCCAAGAAGCCCGTAAGAGTAGCTCCAAAAGGCAAGAATCGTCCCATCCCCTAAAGAAAACGTGTATGTTTAGCATATTCGCTTCTTCGGTCTTCACAGCCTGCCAAAGTGGGCTCCAAGACGGCCCAAGAGAGCCCCAAAACGGCCCACGAGGGTCCTGAGGTCCCAAGATAGCCCCAAGAGAGCCCCGAAAAAGCCACAGGAGGTCCTCAAGAGGGCCCCAGAGGACCCCGACAGGGCGCCAAGACGACCCAAGCCCCCCAAGACAGCCCAAGAGGGCCCCAGGACGGCCCATGAGGGCCCCAAGACGGTCCAAAAGAGCCCCAAGAGGACCCCCAGGAAGTCCCAGAAATGCAATCTTCATTGATTGTCTTGAGGCTTTTGGCTAGGTTGTTGTATGTCGCGTCACAGCCTGAACACCAGCAGGGCTCCAAAGCACTGAGCCAGCGACCTCACGCCCTCACAAAGTACACGCGCTTTCCGTCCCCGTGCCAAGCAGGCAACAGAAAGAGCGAGGCACGAGTGATGACGTTCTGGTGGAGCGAACACCCTCCAGGGAAGGGTCCAGGGGAGGGGCGAGGG